GACAATTGAGAAAAAAACATGCATCTCGCATTGCATTTAAGTGCATTCGTGTGGATAATGATTATGTGTAAGTACTCTACGAGGAAGGAAAAAGGTCTCACTCGCATATACATTTTATTTAAAAAGAAGCCCAATTTTTTTGTCGGTTGGTAAAATAGTTTGTATGTTATGCAGACTCTTAAATAAAAAAGAAAATCTTAAAAAACCGGAAGGTTGTTGTTTGCTCTCTGAGTTATTTGACGGTTGGAGAAGTCTTGGTCGTTCGTTGGTCTACATTTTGGTTTGCTTGGATATAAAATCTGACAACATGTGCAAGGCTAACGAGAAATGAACCTTAAGGGTTCCATCCATGATCACGCAGCAGCCTCGTGATCACGAAGGCCTACATACTACCAAAAATGGTAAAGTAAAAGAGGAGGGAGAGTCAGGTACATGGAAGGGTCGTCTCTTTGAAACTTTGAAAACCTACCCTACCTTCCCTGCTGGCCTAGAAGCAGTATTATTATTATTATTTGAGTGCATCCCATGCACATAGGAAAGGAACAGGGACCGCAGAAGGGAAGATGTCCCCACGGTTGTGAGATGTCCGCATCATCATCTCCCCATCTTATATAAACCACTCCCTCTCCATTCCTACAATGTTAACGTCCCCCGATGTCTCCCCGGCTTCCGCGGCCACTGATGGAGGAGAGGATAGATAAAATTATAGGGGTTTAGGCGGTCTGGCCTGGTCCACCACGTTTAAAGTCTGTCTGAAGGTCTCTCGTGTAGTAAAATTTTTTAACGCTGGGTTTGCTTTTGTGTCTGTCTGTAGTGCTTTTAAAAGCAAGCTCCCCTCCTCGTTTTTCGACTCGCAGGCAGCGTCGATTTTCATGTCAGGAGCAGCACTAGCCAGCACTCACTGGATGGGAACCTTCCCCTCCCTCCCCCAGCTTGGAAAATAGAAAATACTTACAACCCTCCTTTACTTTGGTTGGTACGAGGGATGGGTCTTTCTCCCGTATTTTGTGTCTGTAACTATCTGCGCCAGGGGCCAGGGATGGATGGATGGATGGATGGGAAGATGAACTACATGGCATTATTATTGTATTAAAGCCGATGTCCAGGCCGGGTGGACGGGATAAAAGGTGGAATGGGGCAGCTGGATTTGGATTAAAATTGAATGAATTTGGTCGTCACTTGTGTGAGTACCAGGGGCCGCGGAAGTGGAGGGACAATGTCCCCACGGTTGTTCGATGTCTGCATCATCATTTGCTCATGTTATTTATATAAATTCCTCACTCCCCTGTTAATGTCCCCACACAGCTTCCGCGGCCACTGTTTCTTTGTATTTGTACCCGACATGCGAACAGTCCACTTTAATAGTAAACTTTACTTCATTATATCATCACTGTTTCGATTACGCTTTGTTGTCGTGTCGAAGTTACCCTATATTTCGTTTCTCTGTGAGGGAAAAATATGTAGTGGTCTAATTTTAGGTTAATAATGGATAAAAGTCCATTTCCGGTACGATACTGTACCAGTTTCCGAGTGTGTGAATCATGTAGCAATTGAGTTTGTAAACTAATTTCGTTTCGAGTAGGTGGTCGTGGTGTGGTAATAATAATTAATTGGTTGAAAAGTTAAATTATGACATGCGATTTATTAATAATTTTTTTTAAAGAGATGCATTTTCGTACCATTTTGAAACTGCAGAGCAATATTTACGTACATATTTTTCGAAATTCATATTCATAATTTTTTAACGAGATGAATTTTCATATGATTTGAACCTCTCGAGCAAAATATTTACATGTTTTCAAAATCCATTTTTATATATTTTTTAACAAGCTGCATTTTCGTACGATTTTGAACCTGTCGAGAAATATTTACATACATATTTTCAAAATCCATACTCATAATTTTCTAACGAGATGCATTTTCATACGATTTTAAACCTGCATAGAAATATTTTCAAAATCCATATTTATAATTTTCTAACAAGCTGCATTCTGCATTTTCATACCATTTTGAACCTTCAGAGCAATATTTACCTCTCTCCAAACCCAATTTTAGACCTGTATCTACGTACTTAAAGTTGCGCAGCAGTGAGTCTGGTGCGGTGTTTTATGGGAATGACACCCTGTAGCTTTCGGTTGGCCGTGATCCAAGCAGAGTTCATGTTGTAGGGGTCAAGGGCTCGGTTTGCTTACTATACAGTTTGCCAGGCCACCCAACCGAGTTTGTTGGGCAAGAGAGTAGTACTATGAATATAAGGACGGAAGTTCCTTACCCGGTTTTTTAACATCCGCTCCAGCACTACGGAGAACCGGATCCTGTGAAAAAAACCGGATCGATCCGATGAATGAAAGAGTCTAAGCGGAGGAGGGGGAGGGGTCGGAAATTCCTCGTGAGTGTGTATCTGACATTGCATCCCATTTTCAAGGGAATTGCACCACCATGCAATCCAAGATCCAATCCAGCCCAGTAAAAAGAGAGCGAGTCAGTCAGGGTCAATCTTACTACGTCGTTACTACAAACTGGTAGATTCTCCCTCCAAATCTCGTGAAGAAGATGACATGCATGTTGTTAACCCTTTGAGTTGATGATGATGATGATAACAAGTAGTTAATGAGTTTAAAAAAATGATTAGAGAAGAGAGAATTATGGGAATACCTGTGCATATATTAGTGAGTGAGGAATCTGCTTGAGAAAGGAAATGGACAAGTTGTCGGGCGAGATTGAGATAAAAGGAAAAGGCAGTAATGCATCATTGTAATGACATAAGTATTAAAATATGTTGTTTGGTAAGAAGGGGGGGGATTGTACATAAGTCGTGTGACCAAAGTTGGAGACGTAAATAAATACGGGGGGAAAATTGGGGGAAGGGAACGGGGTAAAAATGTGAGCACATGTTTTAGTTTTATGTCACTGAGAATGGAGGTATCCCAGCGTATGCGATCCGATTTTTGAGCAAATTAGTGGGAATCGATCACAAATTTAATTAGGATGCAATTTGCGAAAGACACGATCTCCCAAGGGGCACGTTTGGCGCAGATATTTGCATCCGAAGAGGAGAAAACGCGTAATCAATTCGGACAGTGTAAAATTTATCAAGTTTAGGACGCGTTTTCTCCTCTTCGGATGCAAACATCTCTGCCACCCGTGCCCATTCGGAGATTGTGTCTTTCGCAAATTTAATCCTAATTAAATTTACCATCGATTCCCACTAATTTGCCCAAAATCGGATCGCATACGCTGGTTCACCTCCCTTCCAGTATGAGATCATTACGGGTGCAATGCACAATGCAATCCAACTTTTTAGTGAGTTACGTAGTGAATGAGTAAGTATGTACGAGTACATATTGAGAATTGCTCGCTTGTGTGAATTTATTTCTTCTCAGACGAATGCAATGACCATGAAAAAGTTCTTTAACATTAAGAGCGAAAGAAAGAAAGAAGTATAAGTAAAGTAAAGAGCGATTCGTGTTGTGAGACACACTCGTCGTCGTCGTCATCAGTGGCCGCGGAAGGTGTGGGGACATGTGGGGACATTGCCATTGGGGAGGGAGTGGTTTGTATAAGATGATGGGGACATCGAATGGTAGTGGGGACATTGTCCCCTCTGTTCCGCGGCCACTGGTCGTCGTCATCCTCTCCTCTCGGTATTTATTATGTAAAGTAAAGCATCCTTTGTTCAAGTTGAGACACCTTCGTCTTCTTTTTACCTTGAGAAATGAAATGAGTGACTGACTGCGTGCCGTATCACCGTATTATTTACCATGGATGGCTGGATTTTGGTCTGTCCTATTCTATGGTACTGGAAAGTGTCGAAATTCTGTCTTTGTTAATAAATGTGGAAGAGAGGCGGTTTAAAAAATGTGGGAGCAATTTTTTCTAAATGATGTTTAAAGTGGAAAAGAGTAGGTAGGTATTAAATTAAAGTCGTCTTGGCTCTGTTCTGTCACAGGTTTTGATCTTAGATTAAGTACAAGTGAAAAACAAATAGTTGTACTAACAAGTTGTCGGTATTAACCTGTTCTCTGTATTTTTTTTGCTTTTTTTCATGGTTGAATAGTTTAAAAAAATTCCATGAAAGTAAAATAGACTACAAAATGCTTATTAAGAAAAAATGTATATTTAGAGGTGAAATTACTTGTAAAAAATTTGCAGAGTGTCGACATTTCGAATTAAGAGGGATCCTTTATTCATAAAAATATTTTGAAATATTTAATTATTCACAGATCTTATAACCAAGTCATGTTATGCAAATTGAGACAGGACAAACATTACTTAATTTTGTAATTAACTAATGTTTAACTAATGTTACGAACTTAAAAGTAAATTGCATACACGGTTTGGACACCAAATTTCGATTTAATTAATGCAGAATTATTAGCCATAAAAAATGCTGTTATGCTCAAAATTTTTGATTTTATTAAAAAAAACATAATTATTATCACGATTACCTAATTAAAAATAGTAAATATGTGTCCTCATCATCAAAAAAATGATATGTCCTAGTCTGCAAAATTCTTCTCTACATTTCAGAAAAATCTCCTTCATATTCTATTTATTACGGCCGAAGCGAGACGGATTCTCTCTCCTTTTGGTTGATGATAATAATAATAATATTTTTTTGCCCTTCTATAAAAAGACTGGTCTCTCGGGTAGTAAGTAATGGATTGCATAGCAGCCCAGCATATAATACTAACTCTGTCCGTGGACAGGTATAAATCGTCTTTAGTTAGTTGGTTTTATGGAGAGAGAAACCTTGCTAGGCCATTGAGCTCTTTCGAACCTGGTTTTGGTCAGCCTTGCCCCGTAATGTACGAGACAACAAAGGATTCCTATTTATTTCGTGGTGGTGGTGCTTTGGACACGCTTGGTTCGCAAGGTTTCAACGCTGTAAAGCGCCCAAGCTGGCAACCCCGCGGCTGGAGCGTGGGGTCCAAGCTCCTGCCAGCACTGGGAATTTTGGCGTTCCCCAGGCATGCTTGATAGCAGCGATGTGCATATTTTTATACACATACACACGCCGGATTCTCATGGAGAAGCAGGATCAGACTTGGCTTTTAGGAAGCGTTTGTTTGTCAGTGGTGTTGTTGCTGAATGGTTGGATTTTGATGAGGAAAAAGTTTTCCGGAAATTTTGGAACTGTTTTTTTGGAAAATAGTGGAAAGAGGAAGGAAGGAAGGAGGAGGAAGAAGTTACAATTGTGAAACTTGGTGCTAAGGAAAGCTTGAGCTGAGTTAAGCTAAGCTTTTTGGAAGCGTTTGTTTGTCATTTGTTGTTGGGCGATGGTTGAGTCTTGAGGGAAAGTTTTCCGGAAATTTGGGAACTGTTTCTTGAAAAAGTGGACAAGGAAGAAGTTAATTGTGAGATTTGGTGCTGAAAATTGAGCTAAACCAAGCTTTTACGACGGATTTTGTTTGTCAGTTGTGGATTTGTTGTTGGACGATGGTTGGATTTTGAGGGAAAGTTTTTCTGAATTTTCGGAACTATTTTCTGGAAAAGTGGAAAAGGAAGAGGAAGAAGTTAATTTTGAGACTTGGAGGTGGGAAGGTTAGATCTGATGTGAGCGTGGTGGACGCGACGCGTGATTTGTTTAGTTAGTTAGTGCTGAGAGAGGAGAGAGGAAGGACGGAAAAAGTGTGACTGAGTTTCTGACGACATTTTATCTAGTTATTTAATCTAGTTTATTTTGACGAGTTAAAAACTGACGAAGAGAAAAGTTAATTAAAAGTTAATTAGTGTTAGTTAAAAGTTATCGTTACGAAAATGAAGCCGTGGAGTAGTATTTACGACGGTGGGGAGGACGACGAAGATGACGAAGTAGTCGGTCAAGAAGGGGATTTGGACCCTTCAGTAGAATCTTTGAGAAGTATGGAGGAACTCGGCCCAGAGGAAGATGAAGAGGGGGGCGACGAAGTCCAACTAGTCGAAGGGGGGAGGAGGACGATGTCGAATATATAGAAGATGCCGAAGAGTTTGACCCAGACCAAGGCGAGGAAGAGGTGGATGACGAAATTGAGGGGCTTATCCAGCAAGAAATGTTTAGTGGATACGCCCAAGAAGAGGAAGGAGACGAAGAAGATGAGGAGGACGAGGTGGAAGAAGTTGAACAGATTTCGACAATGGCGACGACCACGACCACCACGATGAGGCGACCAATCCCTGTAAAAGTTCCAAAACCCAAAATGGATTTCAACATTGAAGGTTTAGACATTGAAATGATCAATCCCGACGAAGATGACGAGGACGATTATCAAGTCGTGGAAGATGACGAGGAGGAAGAATATCAACAAGTTTACAACAACAATGGACAATATGACCAAGATCAGTATTACGACGAGGGTGACGAGGCCGGCGCAATGGGGGACGGATATTATCAAAATAATGAGAACAATCCCATCGAAAGTGACGAGTCAAACGAGGGTGGCTTTGTCGAACAGCATTCACAAGTTAACCAGAACAACTTGCTGCTCAACCAGTTAAGAAACGACGACCATTTCCTCGTCCCTCCCGAAATGCCGAGAGAAGGGCGACGAAAAATGGAGGTGCGCCACCCCAAATTCGTCGGTCTGAATAATATGCAACTCGTCTCCAGAATGGTGCAAAAGGGAAAAATCGTCAACCCTGCGGCGGACGATGATGACGACGAATTTCTCTACGTGAATGCTGAACAAGAGTGCTACTTGGCGAAAAAAGGGGTGCGGGTGGTTCCTGGGAAGAGGAATTATCAAAGTCGGAATGGCAACGACGTGTTTTTGAGTAGAAGTGGGAACAATGTGTTTTATCTCGGGGGAGGGGTTCCACTCGAACCTGTCCTCGCCCATCCAAGACTGAACGACGTGGTGGAAAATTTCCGGCAGGAAATGGCTTATAGGAAGCATGTGTATAAAGATAAGGTGGTTTATAAGGTAAAATTATAACGGGTGGATAGATGGATAGTAATTATGGTGGTGTTATCGGCGGAGGCAGTTATCAGGGGGACATTGCCCCCCATAAATTTGAGCAGAATCGTGTCTTATCCATGTTGATAAGCCCCTTCTCCTCCAATTCATGCTAATGTCCCCCCAACTTCCGCCGTCACAATTTTGGTCAATTAATTTGCTGGTGGGCGGTGCTTTTGTTGTCGTTCGTTCTAAAATCTGAATTTAAACTTAAAAAATACCACATTTTTATAAATATTTACCAGAAATCTAACGTTATTTATCTATTTTATGTTACAGGTGGACCCTTCCAGTATTGTACCCGCCTCAGTATCCGGGTCGGCAGGTTCCTCTTCCATTGGGAGTGAGGAAACGGACCCCGAATTCCTCGCGACTGACGATGAGTCTGAGAGTGAAGTCATCAACGGTAGCATCGCTGCCTGGATCGTTCCCGACACTGGATCTCGAAGTCCGACTCCGGAGTATGAATTGGAAGAGCCGGAGTACATCCTAACCACTGCTGGATCTCATTCACTGGAACCTCCCGCAAAAAAGAGGAAGCAGAAGCACGAACCACAACCCCACACGGATGGAAGGATATATCCAAAACCAGGGTTCTCGTATTCTTGTCTAATTGCAATGTCGCTAAAAAATTCAAAGACTGGTTGTTTGCCTGTGTCCGAAATTTACAAGTTTATGTGGTAAGCAGGAAAATGAAAATGATGCATTTTGAATTCAAATTTATCAAGTTTGTAGATAAACTGATGATTTTATTGTTATTTTTTTACAGTGATCATTTCCCTTACTTCAAAACCGCTCCAAGTGGATGGAAAAATAGCGTGCGGCATAATTTAAGGTGTGTTTTTACTCCGCATTTTTAAGAACAGTTTTCATAAAAGACTTTTTTCTAATATTGATTTTTTGTGTGCAGTTTAAATAAGTGTTTCGAGAAAATCGAGAAGCCTGGGAATGGTACCAGGAAAGGATGCCTATGGTGCGTTGATATCTTTATTTATGGGGTGGAAATACTTGGAAAAGTGTTATAATATTGTGATTATCCTCTTTATTTTAGGGCTCTCAACCCTGCCAAAATCCACAAAATGGACGAAGAAGTCCAAAAATGGTCACGAAAGGATCCCATGTCGATAAGGAGGGCAATGTCTGATCCAGGTTTGTTAAAATAAACCGTCACAACGAATGTAACCAAGGGGTGAAAGAAGTGTGTTATCCGTATTTCAATTCAAATTGATGCATGTATGCAATTTGACCTTTAAATGACATTTCATGACCTTTTGACCTTGATGGGTGTGACCTACAGTGCCCATCTTCGAACTCGTCCTCTCTATTGACGTTAGGAGTTTACGTTCAAAATTTCAAGTGTCTATGTCTTTTCGTTCAAAAGTTATCGGAGCTACGGACAGACAGACGGACGGACGGACATAACGATCTTATAAAGGGCTTTCACCCCTTAATAAAGACGACTTGTTTTTCATCCAATTTTTGCAAGAATCTAATCATTTTTTTGTTACTATTCTATTAGAAAACTTGGAACTCTTAGAACGAGGTGAAATGAAGAAAGATTACAGCGGCAATGGTTCAGATGAAGATGAAGAAGAAGAATTTGGAGATGGCACGACGGCCACAATTATCACAACACAAGCTCAAGTAAGTTTTAACATTATAATTAAATTGAGTATTTAAGTTGCTAATTTATCTGTTTATTTTCTTCAGCGTCAGTCGGATCAGAAAATCCACATAAAGAAAGAAGATCCTCTTGATTTTGGGACAATCACAAACGTTCGGTATGCACGACTTAAAAGATTCAGTACCAATTCAAAACCAAGCCAAGTTCATCACTTAATTTGATAATTGCTCAATTATAGAGGGAACTACCTTTGTGCCGCCCCTTCCGGACCTCAAACGTACACGCTTCAGTTTTCCAACTTGTCCTCGACAACACCAATTATCATCCGACGGACACCGGTGAAATGATTACAGCATTACAGTCAGTATGACTCATCAACTAGCTGTAGTATTCTTGCTGCTACCGCGTCTCGTCCAGCGTAGAAGTGATTACCGATAAAAATAACTGAGTCAGAGCGAAAGAAATGTTTTTCATGGTAGTAGTTGATTTTATACTTGTTTTTTATAAGCTACCAACAGTACTGAGAATTTAATGATAAGCTAAATATAAGTACATATATTAATAATAAAATACAGAGTGGCAAACATTCAGCAAGTATAGGCGGACCAAGAAAAGGATAATTTATATGAAACGAAAAGGACGAGACTGTTTGCAAGAAAAGGACTGATTTTTAAAATGACAAGAGTGTAGAAAAAAAGTTGAGCTCACATTCTTACCATTAACAAGTTTCTCTTACCCGTACTCTCTTACTAATTTGTCGATTTAAAAAAGTATAATCAAAAATGCCTATAAAATAGGAAAAGGAAATAACAAGAGGCTATAATTTGTATAGATAAGATGATTGATATCTTATATAATCTAAGTACTAAATCAAGGAGAAGATGTAGGTAGAATATGTGTTTTTTATTAGATACATACCTACACTATTCTTGAACAAAGAATGTATTTTCACTTTTTCGGTATATTTGATAGATAAGCAATTCTTATCAACAATACAATTATATAAATACTTAGCAAACGATGAGAAATCAGAAATCGAATCAAAGTCTAATCTAATCTTGCGGGACTAGTTTAAATCTTACTCATCAAGTGGCCAGAAAAAAAAACTAGACGTAGTTTTTCGAAATAAATAAGAATTTCCAAACTTATTTAAAAAAAAAACTGTAGAGTAAAATAGATAAGTCGTCATTACGTAAATATTTACATAAAAATAACCCCACGTCAAGCGAAATACACAAGAAAAAAAAACGTATTTCTCAACAAAAACAATGTATGTGTAAAGTAAAATGTAATTATTAACGTATCATCGCTAATAGATATTGTGAATAGCTGATTCGAAACGGTATAAAAAAGAGAGAAAGAAAGGGAAGTGTTTTTTGTAAGAAAAGTATTTTTGTGTTGATAATATTTTCTTGATGTCGTTTTTTACTTTTAGACAGTGGAGGAGGAGGAAGGAGCGATTTTGTACAGCTTGTATTATTATTTAAATAATCGTCGTCGATAAGATAAGATTATTATCAACATTATTATGAAGAAAAACAGTACAGTACACAAAAACCCTTATATAAATCGATCCATAATTTGTACTAAATATGTATCAACCAACCACGCCGAGAACCAATTTCGTTAGAATTTCCCATTGTAAATTCGTTAACGGGACGGAATGATGCTCCTCCGTTTATAGTCGTTTGTAAAATATTTATAATCTAGAATCATCATATTAACTTGTGTAATTATGAGTTAAAAAAAGAATTCAAGTCGTAACCACCACCTTTTGTAATTGTGTGTGAATATTTTTAGATGATCACTCATTTACTCCATGTTACTGTAATACCTGTACGAGAGACAATTTAAAAAATTTTATAGTTTCCTTGCGTTAACAAAACAAAAACGAATCAGTTAGTTAATTAATTGTTCATTACGTAAGTAAGCTAGTTTTAGTTCGTCCTGTTCAGGAGACAGTGGCCGCAGAAGGACAATGTCCCCACGGTTGTTCGATGTCCGCATCATCTCCCCATGTTATATAAACGCCTCCCTCCCCCCATCCTACAATGTTAATGTCCCCACGGCTTCCGCGGCCACTGTTTTTGCGAGAAGGATGATGGCGATACATATTTATGTATGCTGGGTGAAAGTGGTCCTCACTTTTCACCGGACTCAGGGGTAGCTACTAATTATTAGGCGATTACTAGCTAAATATTTGGTTAATTACTTATAATTTGTGAGAGTGTCGAAGGCTGCAATGAAATGAAAAAAGTGTGATCGTGATCATATTATTATAATTAAAAATTTATATACAATTTATTTATATCGTAATCGTATTGTATGTAAAATGAAAAAAATCAACTGGGTTTAGTTACTATTTTATTATTATTTGTATCCTTACATACATATAAATACTTACACAACTTACTTACCACTTCCCTACTGTTTATTAAGTAAATATGATGTATAACTTCTTTCAATGTTGTCTTGAAAGTGATATGTTTTCCTAAGAATTAGCACATTTATATCAATTGAATAAAAAAAAAGAAAGAAAAAAAGTGGAGGGAGTTGCAATTTTGATTTTTTTCATGAAAATATGAATACCAAAAAAAAGCTTAAAAATTATTGGCGAATTCATGGTTGAGTTAGGAACAAGTTGGCAATTCATCGAAGAGATCAGCACATTTATACTTATCAATTGAATAAAAAATAGTTGAGGGTTTACAATTTTGATTTTTTTTAAGAAATGTATTTTTTCATGAAAATATGAATACCAAAAACAGCTTAAAAATTATTGGCGAATTCATTATTGAGTGAGGAGGAACATGTCGAAAATGGTAATTCTGCTTGGAAAAGATTGACGAATTTTGGTGCCTCGTCGGAATCGAGAAGATTTTCATTTTCGTTTTCGTCAAGAAATTGGAACTTTGAGGAAGGAAACGTGATCAAATTGGTGGACGAGATTTCCGTGATTGGTGTAAAATCGGGGCAAGCTTCTTGTATTTCGGCATTTTGGAGATCTTGATGCGTATTTGAGACGGGTGACGAAAAAGGGGCAAAATCGATGGGGGTGAGAGTTTCTTGTCCTTCAGGATTCGTATTTTGACACGTTTTTGAGCCGTATGGCGAAGGCAGGGGGTCGAACAAATTGGTGAAGGAGACGGGATTTAGGACCATGGTCGTGAGTGGGGAGGGGGTCCGCTCCAACCAGATTTTGGCCGCGGCGAGTGGCGACAACGGTTGGCCAGTGTCAACTTCCGGGTAGTCGCTCTGTAAATTATTATGTAAAATTATTTATATTGTAATCCGGAATAGCTAAATCGTCACATTTTCCAGCTCTGGGAACTTACTTTAAAATTCTGAACGACAAATTTGTATAGTAGAGTTCCCAATTTTTTACTAAAAATATCACTCCTTATTTTGACATTTTTTGAAGGAGATCTCAAGTTTACGAAGCCTTCAGAAAAATTGGAACTCATCGAAACTGGGTTAAAAAAACTCAACGCCAAAAAATCAACTCACTGAGTACAAAGGAAAGTACCGTTCAAGGAGGTTTTTACGGCCTGAGCGAAAAATTATTTTTAAACAATTAAAAATAACAACGCCGTTGGCAACAAAAATGCAAAGAACTTCATTTAGCCCGAGTCAGGGTCAGAGTCCGCTTCTAAATTTTGTCCAACGACCTGACGATTTCCACCAAAAAATTTGTATTGATGCTAGTTCAATGACGCTGTTTATATCTATCTTATCGTTTTCTCGGCGCAAATTGCCGTACACCCGACATAATATTCTCACTCACATTTATGGAGCATGAAAAATGTCATTTTTTATCAATTTCAAAAGAGACAAATAACGTGACGACAAATGAATTATTCTTTGAAAACCTATGAGTACAACTTTGCTAAGCCCGAACCAGGATGGATTGGTACTATAAACCCATGTTTGTCAGAATGTTATACTATTTTTCACTAATTCTTGCATTAACTAACGTCAGTTGGTAGTATTACTTGGCACCAAATACCACGAACAGTGGAGGCTGTTCCTATAAAATTTCGAAATTTAACCCTCCTAAATTCTAATCCGAAGTTATTTTTCGACTCCACACTAAATTTTAGCTAAATATATAAATTCTTAGAAATCGGTATGGGTACTCTTCCTTATTGCCAATCTGGTTATTTTTTGTTCATCTTTGACTTCATATAATTTCATGAGAAGCCATTAAGTATCACCGTTCCGAATTTTAGCTTTTAGAGACAAAATGTTAAAATGTTAAAATGTTAAAATGTGACAGTTTTACATCGCCAGGACTCAGATTTCTCTGCTTTTCAGCCTCAGATGGCGACTTCTTGCCATAATTTCGTAGCAAGTTGTCTCATCCCCACAGAGAACGGACTCTGCTAGGGGCTGTACACAGTGACATTGCCATTCCGTATGGCTGGGCTCACCCTGTCACGAGACAGCACCTACCCCGTACTAACACCGAGCCGAGTAGGATTAGCAATAGCTTCCCGGCCAGAGGAATCGAACGTGTGACTGCGTGGTGACAATCCTACCCTCGTACCTCTGAGCCATAGGGCCTTGCTATGACAAGTTATGAAAATCGGTACGGGTCACCCCAACGGGTCCCGGATGTGAAATTTTAACAATTTTACTTCATCTTCTTCTATTAAGGGTCATTAGAAACTATGTACGAAGTTTCATCTCGATTGAATAACTTAAAAAACCTATCAGTACAGCTTTGCTTAGCTCGAACAAGGATTGGTTAGTACATAAACCCATATTTGTTTTCTGTAAAATTATGTGCTACTATTTTGCAATGAATCTTGAATTAACTACTGTTGGTTCAAAATTAATATACAGTAAAATTACTGTGAAGGTTGGAAAATAATGTATTTTAAAACAAAATCAAGTCATGGAAAAAAATATTTCGCCAGATACCCTTTCAGATTTTTTACTGCATATTAATTTTGAATAAACAGTAGTATCAATTCCTAGTATTGTATCAAGTTCCAAAATTAATATTTTTAATTAAAATATTGATATCCCTTCCTCGTGACTTCCTCTCATGACCAGTGGAGGTCGCTCCTATAAAAATTTCGAAATTCAACCCTCCTACATGCTAATCATAAGTTATTTTTTTATTTTTTTGATTCCATTCTAAATTTCAACTGATTATATCAACTTTTATAAATTGATATGGGTTACCCCCTACTGCCACTCTGGTTACTTTTTGTTAATATTTTACTTCGTATTATTTCATGAGAAAGCACTGAGGACCACTACAAATTTCAGCTTTCAAGTTAATTTCTGAAAATCGGAGGGGGTATCCCCATAGGGTCCCTCCGGATGAAAAATTTTCTAATTTCAATTTATACTCTTCCCTTAAGAGCCATAAGCAACTTCCATGCAAAATTTCAGCTCGATATGACGACTTTTAAAAATCTGTATGGGTCACACCCTAGGGTATCTCCGGTTGAAAAATTTTCCAATTTCACTTCACATTCTTTCATTAGAAGCCATTAGCAATCTCTGTACCAAATTTCAGCTGTCTATGACAATTTTGAAATTGTGGTGCATAATTCCCCACCCACTCCGATGACCCCCACCGGTCAACCACTTGACCGGTTTCGCCCATCATCGACCTCATTTCCTAACTTTGTCCAATATGCATATGGTGAAAATTTCAGGTCAATCGGTTCAGTCGTTTTGGTTTCATCGTGTAGATGGGCCGGACGGGCGAACGGACGGACATGAGGGTTCCATAAGCCCAGACTCGGGCTAAAAACTAACTTTCAAGAAAACAGCAGAGTTTTGTTGACCACGGGGTCGCATGACGACAGTCTCCTTGGGCTTTTTAGCCCGAGTCAGGGCTTATGGAACCGTCATGTCCGTCCGTCCGTCCGTCCGTCTGTTCGGCACGATAGAGCCAAAACGGCTGAACCGATTGACTTGAAATTTTTACCATATGCATATTGGACAAAGTTAGGAAACGAGTTTGAAGATGGGCGAAATCGGTCAAGTGGTTGACCGGTCGGGGTCATCGGAGTGGGTTGGGTATTATGCACCAAATTTCAAAATTGTCGTAGAAGGCTAAAATTGGGTACAGAGGTTGCTAATGGCTCCTAATAGATAAAAATGACTTTAAGTTTGAAAAATTTTCATCTTGAGGGACCCTATGGGATGACCCATACTGATTTTTCAAAATCGTCATAAAAAGCTGAAATTTGGTAGAGAGGTTGCTAATGGGTCTTAATAGAAGAATATGACGTGGAATTGGTAAAATTCTTATCAGGAGCGACCCTATGGGGTGACCCATACCGATTTTTAGAAATTACTTTAAAAACATTAAATCCGGCAAGGTCATACCTAATGGCTTCTCATGAAAGGATATGAAGTTAAAAGTGAGCGAATTTTAACCAGAGTGACCCTGGAGGGTAACCCATACCATTTTTTAAGTTTAATTTTTTCCATCTGAAATTTGGTACGAAGGCTAAAAACCACTTCTTGATAGCAAATATAGCTGTGGAAGTTCAAAGTGGTAATATTATGTCGGTCAATTCGGAGAAAAATTTAGAAACAGCTAGGACTCACGGAGTCAGGGACTCTGTCCCTGACTCGGGCTATATGGAGTCTGCACTGTAGGTTTTATAATTTTTCCCAAATATTTTGCAAAATTTTCAAAACCCACACCACTTTGACGGGCTAAAACTACCAGAAGCGAGCATTACGTTTCTTAGCTTTTATGCACACGTACAGATGAGGATATGACTGATTTTATGGCAAAAAAGCTAAGAAACGTAATGCTCGCTTCTGGTAGTTTCAGCCCGTCAAAGTTGACATTATCACCTCCTTGTACGGTACTCATCTTTGTCGTTCAGAATTAAAAAAAAAATTTCCAGAGCGGAGAAATTGTTAACAATGTGCCGATTTTGACAATTTTGATGATAAGTCATCGAGTATTACAGTTTTCGATACCCAGGGCTAAAATTACTACCAAGCGGTATTCATATATGACTCTACCAAAGAGGTATTGGTATACAATACCATGTAATAATGGCTGAGTATTAAAATTTTACCACATCAGTAGCAAATTTTTACGGGCCGGTATAATTTTAATACCAAGCGGTAGCAACTTTAACACCGAGAAATCAATACCTGCCTGCCTTTACCAGATTTCTAACAGTGTAAAACGTTAACAGATTAAAATACATACCTTTAACTTTGTCCGTATCTCGTTAAACATCACGTTTCTGGCAGAAAGTGGGGTCCGCATCTTTTTCTTGATCTCTCTGATGGGATCGTTACCAACTTCCACGCTTTGTCGCCCACTGACATCTCCCTTTTGTTGTGGGGCCCCTGTCTTATCGTCACTTTTGCTGTTTAATTGTGAAAGGAAAAAGTCGTCCAGTTGAAATTTCCACAAAACGTCTTCGTCCGTGGCAACTCCGGCGTCGGTGGTGACGATATCGGTGCCCACTTTTACGGAAGCAGAGGTGACGACATGATGGCTGCTACAGCTTGCTTCTCGTTTTTGGATTTCAATTTCTAAAAATTTTTCCTTGTTCTCGAACAGTTGGAGTTCCAACATTTCGTTTCGGAAGGACATGTCTTCAAGGGCTTTCTGAAAGTGATAAATAAGGGGGTCACGTAATTTGTGCAGTGTTTGGTTTCTTGCGGGTTTGCACAATTTCTTGCACTGCCTGCAATATAAGCCACGCAAGAAATGCGAGGTGCAAGAAACTGGGAGAAAGTGTAAGAAATATGCTACATCTAGCCACCCACCGTATGAAGTACAGCGGCGTGGCGTAGTTTCTTGCACCTTGTATTTCCTGCAGGGCAAAATATTCGCCTGCAAGAAACCACTTTCTCCCCGTTATTTCTTACAAGTGGTTACTTTCACCGGAAACACTGGTAACTCGTGCAGTGACCACTTACCTTCAATTCGTTCACTGTTCCCTGCAATTTTTGACATTTTGCGTCCTGTTTACTAAGACGTTTCTTCGTATCGGCACAAATCCTGGGAAAAATTTCAATTTTTTTCATAAAACAATGAGACCAAAATTCAACGCATAACAAATTAAGGGGCCCACATGCACTCGTTATTCGCTTCTTCAAAATCCGTCTGTTGTTCTTCCTCCGCTACAGATTTTCTGTCCTTATCTTCCTCCTCCCGTTTCTTCTTCTTATGAATCGACAACAACTCTGAGCTTATCGTTTGACACGCAATTTCCACATGTTGACACGGACAGAGGATGAAGCCGTCCTCCGTTTGCGTGGGGGTGCAAGGTGGGATCAGGTTCCGCTCGATTTTTGGGACCACGTGGTTTGGCAGCATTCTACTAAAAAGCCTTCTGGACGTCCTCTCCCCGGAAAAGGTTGACCCACATCCGGAGTGGGTTTCCTTCTGGCGATAAAACGGGGACGGGTTTTCGGGCGTTTTTTGCTGGTTTTGTTGATATTGAGCCCCATGGATGCCATAAGCTAGGCGGACGGGGCGTTGGTGTGGTCCAATTGGTTTGGCGGGGGCACTTTTGGGCGATGGAGGGGGTCGACTTCTTCCTTGACCTGGGAAATGTATTTACGATTTAAAATTTCATGCAAAAAAGTCGAAGATAAGCACAACTTGACCTGACTCAGGCTATATTAAGTCTGCACTGTAGGTTTTTTCGAGTGAATGACCATGGGTCGACCCATAATGCGTCAAATTGAAGTATTATAATGAGGAGATCATTTCTACATAAAAAATTCCAACCTTCATACTTAAAATTCTTCAGGAAAAATCAAAATATGTAATAAAAATCGCATTTTTTTTTCCGCATATTTTGATTTTTCCTGAAAAATTTTGAGTGTGAAAGTTGCCAATTTTTATGAAGAAATGTCCTACTCATTATAACACCTTCAATTTGATTCACAGGGTACCATACGGTACGTAAGTGGTTACAGATAGAGGTACATCCCTGACCTTGATTATTATCGACCCTTGACCTCGGCGAGGACAAACTTGACCCCTCCCTCGTACCCCACCTCGACGCTGGACTCGTCCCCCGGGAAGAACTACATCTCGTATTCGGACTCGGATCTCGCGACATGCAACTCACTGGAGTCCCAGGAACGCTATAGTATCGCAACGATTTCTCGAAATCGGATCCCTGTGCAGATTTCATCGTGGGAATTTTCGACTTTTTCGAGGCGCAGAAACTCTTTGATTTTTGAAATTTTTCCGAATTTTCCGTCCCCGTCATCATCCCGGGACGTCGGGAGGATGAAATATTCGTGGATTCGAGCAGTTGGGACAGAACGGAGCCTGGTGGGACGGGAAAGATGGGTTGGTCGACGAACGTGGGGAGTAAGGTTCGACTGCTGGTCGTCATTTTATTTAATTATAAAAAGCGAGGGGGGATTTATAGTTTTAGGAAATTTATGTAAATAAATTGATGCAGAAATTTTAATCCACACGGGACAACGCACGATTGACATCGTTTCTATGGGGCGGTGCCATAATAAGACGTGATCTTCCCATGGTCACGTTTTGCATCCGAAGAGGAGAAAACGCGTTGAGAAATTTTTACATTTTCCCAATTTTCTGCGCGTTTTCTCCTCTTGGGATGCAAATATCTCGGCCAAACGTGCCCATTGGGAGATCGTGTCTTTCGCAAATTTCATCCTAATTAAATTTGCCATCGATTCACACTAATTTACCCAAAATCGAAGAGCATACACGCTGGGAAACTTACATTGTATTAAATTTCGGAAATTTTTGTACAAATAAAAATCGAAATTAAATACATGCATAAATTTGTATTATGCCATTTCTATACTCAATTTATTATTTACAAATTTTCATCTGATAATTTCACCCGACATTAAATTTTAGCCACACAATTAATTTTGCTCACTTTTCTTTCCAAGTATTTTAACTCGTTTAAATACGTTACAATTTCATGCGAAGTGGCTTCGAAACCGTTACTCCGAGCTTCAACCCCGCGTCGAAGTCGACTTTCGCCAACGAAACGTTTCCCAAGAAGGGCGCCTCCTTCGCAAGAAAGTTTGGAGTTAATTGGAGGTGCGGTGGCAGGCGGTTATCCTTCATGAGCTGTAATAAACAGAGGTCGGATATGTATTTAAGAAAAATCGCTATTTAATATTTACAAAATATGTCCCGCAAAAATACAGATTTTCTCAAAATTTGTATTTCTGAATTTAATATTCTCGATTTTTCGTAGTATAAATAAAAAAACTTTGTCTCACATCGCTCAAATATTTTCAAATTATGTGCATTTTTGAAAAAAATATGGAAAATATTTCCATATCTCTGGATTTTTTATGGTCTATTTCTTTGAGCAAAAAAGTGTTATCTCGCATCGTTGAAATTTTTACAAAATGTGAGTATTGTGATAAAATATGATTTCTGAATTTTGGAAATATTTACAAATATTTGAAAACCTATAGGAAGACATAACAATTGTAAAAACATTTCGAAATTTTTGTGATTAAGAGTCTGGTAATAAATTGATAAAACAAACTTGAGGATGAGTGTGCGAAATAATTTTGAGAAATAAGAACACGCCCAATTGCTGGGTAAATTTGCGAAAAAAAATCCCATGGATTTCCGGTAAAATTTTTGCGAAATCTCGCATATCTCACAAAACTTGGCAAGTTATGCTGCTATGCTCAATTTGCGAGATATACGAAATATGTGAAGGTTAGAAATAATCTTTTTAATCTGGGTTCGTGTTTTTTCTAAAATTTCAAAAAAACTCACCATTTCGAAACCGCTCAGCTTGAAGGAGTTGAGTTGGGACGACGCGGTCGCAATAACTGCGGCTAAGAGAGCTATATCGATTTCTCTCGAATGCTGGTCCAACTCGTCATATATTCTAAATAAAAATAAGTAAATTAAGCACAATTTGCTCAAAGTTGAGTAAGTCTTAAAAAAGAGTATGGCACAACCAAAAGGTAAAACTTACCAAAGGCCGTAGTGCAAAATTATGCAAAACTTGTGCCCAACGAGTGGACAATTTTTGCACAACGTTGGTTAATTTTTACCATTTTGTTATGTCATTTTTACTCAACCTTGAGTAAATTTTACTAATTTTTATTTAGAGTTTACCGTCGATAATCATTGTCGACGGAGGTCAGGTGGAGTGTCAGATTTCGGAGGCCTACAAAATACGATATTTTGAGTGAAAACCCGACAAAAAAATATTCAGGAATAAAATTATGAATGCGAAATTATGCAATATTACTGCATAATTAGTTGTGGATCGAGTGGAAATAAAATTGTAAAATTTTTTCAAGACACCAAAAAAACCAAATAAAAATAATGAATTTCGATTCATAAGCCCAATTGAAGACATAAGACAATTGAATTTTTATAAATCAAGTAAGTCATTCTGAAGAGATATGTTTTCGAATTTTTGGATTCGCGTTAAAATTCGAAAATTTTTAGAATTTTTAAAAACCGAGGTTTTGCCTGGAAAACAGTTTAAAGTTCTCGCTCAAATTAGAGCATTACGAAAAATCCAAAAATACGGGTATGCTTATTTTTTGTGGCGAACTAAATAAAATAGGTCCCATTGAGATTTGAGTTGACCTGCATCGTGAGTGAGTAATTACAAATAAAATTACGAATAAAAACCATAAATTACGATTCATAAGGCCCATTTGAGTAAAAGCCTGAAGGATGGCTTGACATCTAAACCGGGCTTTTGACACGGCCACATCCGTCAATTTCTTCCACCCTTGGGCAACTCTGAAAATCCCGTCCAAATGTAACGGCAGGGTGGCCTGCCTGTAAATCACACAAAAAATCAAAAATCCGAATCAAAACCTAATAAACAGTTACAAACGAAATGTAGCCAAGGGGTGAGGCGACATGGTCATGGTACGTCAAAACTATATCGATTTTTGAAATCCCCGCCCAAAACTAGGTCTAAAAAATATCAAGCTAAGAAATTAGAATTGAAATTTGAAGTTTGCTAAAAATTGCACATTTTTTCAACTTTTACGCCAAATATTTTGATAATTTTTTTTTTTTTTTTTAACATAACGCACGAATTTATTCCAAATATTCAAATTAAATCATCAAATACATATCATTTATTATAAAAATATTGAGGCGACGTCTTCTCGACAAGGCTTTACAAAATTTGGCCGTCATGGGTAGGAACTAAGCCAGTGCTTGTCTCCCGTATCTTCTTGCCTCTTAAAATGTTACAATTTTAGTAATTTTGGACAATTTCAGAATTCATAGAATATCATTAATTAATATAATTACAAGGTTTTCTTAACAAACGACGTATCAAATATATAGTAAAATCTTATCACATCATAAAACTAGGTGGGTTTATCTTACATACTAATTTACGACTAGGTATTGGTTAATCATGCAGAAAAAGGAAAGTTAATTGCATCAAAACCCTAAATTAATGTTTATTTTATTCTTGGAAATTTTATAAATAAAAAATTTGTCCCAATTTTTTTGAAATTTAGGAAAAAGGCTCGAATTTATACTGCATGCATAAAAATCAGTCAAAATCCGTCCATAAAGAAGGTGACGGAAAGAGGAAATGAGATCAAAATTGCCAGAGTAATTATTTAATCGGTGGACAAATGCTTTATAAATAATATTATTTGCATAAAAGATAATTACATTTCCCCCCGCATGCGAAACCCCATGAAGGAAGGCGTCGTCGAAGGCTCGCGAGTCAATGTTTACTTTTGTAAGCAATTTGGCTACTATTTTTCTTAAATCTAAAGTATGTGGACATTTTAAGTAATGTTCCACTTTCGGTTTTAAAAAATTGCAAAACGGGCATGAAAAATTAGTGTAAATTTTAAGTGAATGTGCCATGGAAGGGGTCAGACCCACATTGTGCCAGAACTTAAAGACATTGTCTTTTTCCGGGTTTGACACTGGAGTGGTTGCTAAGCGGAGCCACTGTGGGTGAGAGGAGAGGACATCGTCCAGCTCTTCCCATTTAATTTTATTGTGCACCCGTAAGCAGTGCAGGTAGTTGGTTGCCTTGGCAACCGCAACCCTTTCTGACTTACTATACAGTGAATAAATGTCAAGCTTTATTTCAGTTGAGTCGGTTACCATCCCAACCACATCAATATACTTTTTCCTCTCCGAAAATGCATGCCTTTTTACTGCTGCTGGTAATGCCTCAATGGATTTTAATTTGTTCGGACAGTAGAGATCTCCAACCTTTACTATCGTACAACGAGATAAATAATTATTACTCAAATTCCTAAATAAAAATTGGCTACCTATCATAATATCATGTAAATAATCCCTGCTACACGTGGCAAGTCCCACGCCAAGCCGTTGGGTCACACTGTATAATTCTTTATAAAAATAGGATAGTTTAACAATCTCGGAATTAATTAATAATTGGACTTGGTTAAAAGATTCAGCGAGAAAATAATTGTCCTTACAAGAGGACAAAACCTTATTTACCAAAGTGAGACGGAAAGTTGCGATCTGGGCTGCTGGGTTCCGCACGCCTAGACCCCCATTCAATTGCGGTAAGTAGACGTAGGGTCTTGAAACCCATCTTTTCGACCCCGACCAAACGTAATTTTCGATTTTCTTGGAAATCTCATCCAATATTCCCAACGGTGGATCTAGTACTTTAAATATGTACCAAAATATCGGACTGAGAAAAGTATTGACGATTTTACTGCGTGAAAAGTGACTAACAGGTGCGCACTTTTTGGTGTAAAATTCTAATTTGGAGTCAAATTTGTCCATCAAAATCGTAAAATTTTGTGCCATAAAATTATTATTTCCGAAATAAATTCCCAAAATTTTCAGCCCATCTGAAACTACAGGGAATCTAGTTAAGGGGGGCGCCTGGGCACCTAATATCAAAATTATTGACTTCAGATCATTTAATTTTGACGATGAAAGTTGTGAATACTTTTCGTACTCCGACTCAACTATGCTGATTTGGCTCTGATGACCAAGGAGGACGTTTGTGTCATCCGCATACGCCGAGAGGTACTTGTGCGGGTGTTTTCGCCAGGCGCTAGGGCCCGAGATTCGCAACTTTCTATGCAAATTAAATAATAATGGTTCGATCGCGATGCAGTAGAGAGGACTCGCACTGGGGTCACCCTGCTTGAGACCGACTCCGACTGATATGGGGGCCGTGAGATCACTGCCCACTGACACCACCAAGGTGAAATCAGTGTGCAGTAATTTCACATAGTTAATAAAATTTTCAGGATATCCGAAATTTTTTAAAACCCTATAAAGATATTCAAGGTTTACAACGTCATAAGCGGCCTCTTGATCGAGACTGAATAATAACCCATCAAGTTCACCACTCTGAAAAGCATCCCGTATGAAGGTCAAATTGTCAAATATTGACCTCCCCTTAACACCACATGTCTGCCACGGACCTATGATGGAAGGGAGGGCAATATTTAGACTAGACTTTACACAACTTGAAATGATCTTATAATCAGTGTTGGTCAGAGATATGGTACGATAATTTTTAAGAATTTTAGGGTCACCAGCCTTGTAAATTAAGGTGGCAACAGAGCTCCTGCAAGATTTTGGCAAAAGTCCATCATTACACGACAATGTTGCTAATTCGCTTAAAATTTTACTAAATTGAGTAGAAAATGTCTTGTAAAATTCGAATGTTAAACCATCCAAGCCGGGGGCTTTATTATTTGGGGATTTTTCAATGGCATGTAAAATCTCGTCACAAGACAAATCACCTTCAAAACGTTCAGGATTTGTGATTTTTGGCATATCAAACATAAAATTATCAATATTCGATAAGTTTACACAAGATGGAGCGAATTTTTCCGCAAAAAATGACCCCACCATTTTTAGCTTTTCGCCAGATGACAAGTCATCCAGCGCTTCATCTACAGTGATACCCTCGCGCGTGGTTACCACCTTTCGGTCAGGGAAATCACTGCATACGCCATCCCCACGAATGGTACCCTCTATACTATCGATAAAATTTGTAAAAATTTCGGAACTAGCTACATTTGGTGTTCGAACCAATTTGTTGTATGTTAGACGAATTAACCTTTTAATATTCATTTTGCAATACAGGTCTGTTTCCATGGCAACCCGTATTATTTTACTCTTTAGTTTTTCATAATTATCCAATGAGAAATCAGACGATAAGAAGTCTTTTAAAATCGACTCGACCGTGTAATTAAAGCTTGAATTATTTAATATTGACTTTGGACATGACCATAAGCATTTTTGGTTATTATTGGTGGTTGCCATGGTTACACCGAAAACCATGTGGTCACCTATGAACGGTATAATAGTTTGACTGACCAAATTTGGTAACTGCGAAACGTGTAAATAAATCCTGTCGAGCCTTGCTGAAGTACCATTCATCCTCCTCACAAAGGTAACATCTTTACCTTGTGGGCACAGATGCCGATAACTATCTACAAAACTGCACGAATTAATGAGATTTGTAAATTTTTTTGCGAAACCCTTTCTACTTTCACAGTTACCAAATCTGTCTCTATCTGTGTCAACTACAAAGTTCCAATCGCCGAGTAAGAAGATACCGTCGCAGATGGGGGAGGCAGTGATCTCACTCTTTATTTTGACCAGAAATTGGTCGGACTCATTTTTAAGGAAAGGGAAATGAATATTGAATATTAAAAACGATTGGGAAAGAAATTTAAAATAAATTTTGCTCATTTTACCAGGCATAATCACATCATGACTGATAATCGAGCATCTATGATGTACATAAAATGCTGTACCGCTTCCAAGTGTGGTACAATCATTAAAAAACGGGCTATAGTTTTGTATATTAAAAACTCCATGGCGGATGGAGTTCAAATTTGTCTCCTGGAGACAAACGACTGTAGGATTGAAAGATCTAAATAAGGATTTAAGGGACTGTTTTTTAACTGAATTGTTGAGTCCTTGACAGTTCAAGGTCCAAATACTAATTACCATTTAATATTAAAAAAATGGACCTTGTAACTGTCTTGCTCAGCTACAGGGATTTTATTTAACCGGCAAAAACTTGCCCATTCCATTGATCGGTAATTATCATCAAGTTCGGCTTTAACTTTTGGAAAATTTTCTTGTTCTAATTCAAGAAAACTTTTGACCTGGTTCAACAGGAAAGCGTACTTTGTCACCAGGGACGTATTGCTACTGGGGATACAGCTGTGAACCTCAACCAGCAAAGATTTGATATCTTCTGGAGTTTTTGTGGTCATAAAGATTTGTTGACCCAGATTGACATACTTAGTTTTAATATTATTATTTTCTCTGCGGAGAGAACGTAAAAAGAGAATAAATCTTTCTTTAGTGACGGATTTTATCTGGAAATTCACATTCCATAAATCGAAACCCCATTCGCTCATAGTTTGGGGTTTGGGGTCAGAGGTTTGAGACTTGACTTGCGCCCGTGTCCTCCTTCGTGACTGGGAGCAGGATCTTTGATAGGTATCACTTTCAGAGACCTCCTCCGCACCGACATCTTGGAAGTCAATCGTTTTTCGGCGTTTAAAAGAGGGGGTTGACTTTGTGACCATTTGTGGGTTGGCAAAATTAGGTAAAACTATGGGATCCACATTACCATGCAACGAGTCAACTTGGTTGCTAGGCAACGAGTCACCTGGGTTGCTAGGCAACAGTTGGCCTGTTTTTTCGGGTTTCTTAAAAGTACAATTAGCACTAATATGGCCTTTTCGTGCACACTTGAAGCACTTTTTGGCGCCTATTTGTACTCGCAATTTATACACTTTTCCATTGGCCTTGACCGTGACAACGTCCGGGACCCTTACCCCTTTCGGGATTGCTAACTCAATAATTCGAGTAAATGATTTAATGTGGGCAAATACCTCTCCAGCATTCATCAATC